CCAGTGTAGAGTGATTGAAAAGTGCAGAGCATGGTTATATTAGGTTTAATTGTTAGAATAACAGGTATCTTTTTTTGAAAAGACCAGGAGACCTACAGTGACTTAACATGGAAATATAACCTAATCTGCACTGTGGAGAAAGCTGGGAAGGAATCACTAAATCTGGCATAAATGATATTTTAACCTATACTTGTTACTAGTGAGTTCTGCTCTAGTTCTTTGACTTCTTTTTAAGGAGTGGTTTAAAAAAAAAAAAAATTCCCACTACTGTTGTAACTTAAAATACCAAACAACTGAGGATAAATGGAATCATACTGTAGTCCTGCAAAGCCAATTCATCAGGTCTGTTTTTTCTTTTTTTCTGAAGATTCACTCTGTCTGTCTGTCTGTCTTTCTCATGTCTGAGAGCAGGGAGGGTGGATGAAAATCAGTGGTAATAAAAGCTAGTTCACTGAATCCTTTCAGGAAAGTCTGTCTGACTGTCAGATTCTAGAGCCAGATGTAGTGTCAGATCCAAAGAATTAACTCCAGCTTTTATGCAGAATATGGCTAAAAATTCCCTGCTTTCAACTTTGAAACTGGAAGCATGGCAGAGATGTGGGCAAAATGGAAGAAGTTAATAGAACTGATCTTAGTCAGGTCTTTTTGTAGGTAAGTAGCTGCAGACTGTGAAGTGGCTTGTTCTCTAGTATGCACTGAGTAAAATGTCTGGGATATTTGCAGGCCATGGGCTTCTAGTTGTGAGCTTACTGAAGCAGAGAGGAAAATTGAGACACCTTACTCAAGTTATTTGAAGCCTATTATATCATGAGTATAACACCTTCATGCAAAGAAAAAATCTGAGACATAAATGGAGACTTGGTTATATAATTGATGAGTGGGTAATGCAGCTACTATTGAAAATAGAAGGATGGGGCGTGCAAAAGGACAGAAGAATACTCATAAGATTCAAAAGGAATATATGAACAGGCACAATGTCAGACAAATTAACATTAGAAAGAGCTTTGGAAGATGCAGACTATGAGAGGCAGCTAAAGAGAAGAAGAAAAAATCTCCCTGACATTAGCTGTATGATAACAAGGAAATGACCCTCCATCTAACAAAAAAAGTCCCAACCAAAATACACCCAACTAAAAAATGCATCAACAGACGCATAAGAGTCAGCTACACACACAATGAAGAGATAAGACTGTGTTGCACTAGCGATATCAGCATTGATGATATGCATGTGACTTTTCAGAAGAATGTGTGTGATTCAAAGTTGACATCATTGATAGGATTCATCTCCCCTATCTTCAGACACCTTATAGTAGGATATCTGAAAGAAATCTAATCTATCAGTCTTTGTCATCAATAAAGAGAAATGGCCAGATCCCAAGGCAGTTAGTCTCATCCTGCAGTGCTGGAGTTAATTGGAATGAATTGAAACAAGGATGAGTTTCTTTCCCTTTATTGACCATAAAAGAGTCTGAACAACTAGATCAGACTTGGAAGGCTAATAATTAAGTATTTAAAGTTTGGTGAAATGAATCTTACTTCAGGACATAAGAAAATAGAACCCCTGAGGCAAAATATCAGAAACAAAACACAACATCCTCCATACGAAGGAAACTAGGAATGTATGAAAGGCATCTATTTTCATAATTAGGAAATACTATCGTATGCATTCAGAAGAAAAAAAAAAGTTTCTGTGTAATAAATATGGCATCAAAGCCAGCAGGAGAAACAAACTTTAAAATCATTAAGCTTGTGAAAAACTACATGACCATGGAATTAATGAAAAGAAATTTCACCTCAGAGAAAACTTAAAAAGATTTCCTGGCATGTTTGAAGGCATACAAAATTTCTCAGGACATTGCAAAACTGGTCTACCTGTGGCTTGGCAATAGGGTTTCTTTTCCTGCAGAAAAGTAACTTCTGCATATGGTATATCTTTAGCATTATTACAAAACTGGAGATACCATTGGCATGAGTAAGCTAAATTATTGCATTAGAACGGATGAACACTGGTGTGACCTGGCTGTGCATAGACCCTTAAGGCCTTGGAAAGACTCTGATGCCAGCTGCCTCTGATGAGATCACTTTCAAGCTCTTCACATGAAGTGTATTCATTGCATAAAATGCCCTGGTACTGGCAGAGGGAACAAATGTAGAAGAGCAAGCAAGTTAGCAGGGATTTCTGCACTCTGTGTGGAAGATTGTTTCATGAGAATGTCCTTGGCATCACCATCTGCCTGAGAAGTATTCCAGAAAACAGATGTGTAAAGAATGAGGACTGGCAATGGTTGCATGCCTTGCTAATGACAATCTAATACTAGTGGCACCACAAATCTAGTCACTTGCAAGATGCAAGGAGAGTAAACCTTAAAGATTAAATGCAGTGGTACAAGTACAAATTGGTTTTGATCAAATGAATTACTTCAGTTGCATCATAGAGGAAGAGAGAAAAGGTCTGATCCAAATAAAATGAAAGCCGTAAAGCTTTTGGGAAACCTCTCATCAATAAATTATATCAAGTACAATGAACTTGCACCTACTATGACAGGTACTGAGGATAGCAATGGTTGTGGTGTCTCTACCCTGGGAGAGGAGAACTTGGGGACCAGGAGGGAGGTGGAAGGAGTGGGTAGCAAGAGAGTAATGGGAACAAGACTTTCCAAACAAGATGGGCATCATTCTCCTCAAACTAAAATACTACAGTGAAAGCAAGGCAATAAAGTGGCTGCTAGAACTTTGTAAGCAACAGCTGGAGTAATATTCTTGCCATGGTCCTCTTGTGATATGGATTGAGAGCTAAAGGCAGTGCACCAAAATTATACTCAAATAGGAAAATAATTATTTGGCTTTTTTTCAGGAACTCAGATTGGATATTTCATCATTACATAGATACAGCTGTACAATAACAGTTAAAATAGTTCACAGATCTGTGGAGAGTGTTTTTGACAAACCTCCAGCTTCTCCATTGCCAAGATTCAGAGGATGCTCTCACAGTTATTAAAGGTACAACTTGAAAAGGAAATATGATCCCCCATGAGAAAAGCCTGTAAAGAACTTTTCTTGCACAATTTCGTTGAAGGATGAGCTATGAATGTGGAGGAAGGCTTGGAGGAACAATATGTCTTATATTCTGATGCTTGCTTGTGTTTGTAAAGACGCTAACAAAAGCAGAGAAACAAAAGTGATAATTCACTGTATCTTTTAGGGAAAAAAAAATGAACTCTATTAAAAATAACAGAATCTCTCTTTCTCTATCAGAAGACTGTGGAATAAAGAATAAATAAGGAGACTGGTGTTGTGCCAGAAGGGAAGAGAACAGTAGCTCCAAAGAAAATGAAAATTCTGAATTTTTTGAGGACTGGTTGGTACAGTAGTGAAGACAGACCAGAGAGCTATTCTCTTGGCCCAGTATAAGTATGCAAACAGAACTGATCAGGGATGTGTGTAACCCTATAGAACATAAAAGCAGGGCACCAAGGTGAAGCCCATGACAAAGCTGACAGCAACAGGATAATGTACAATGTATTAATGAAATTATATTATTGCTTATGTGTACAGTTGTGAAAAAACGGACTCATTCCAGATGTGGAAGTAGATTCAAAACCAGCATGACAAGGACATGGCTTAGCACTTTTGTGGAAGAGTATTTTGCTCAGTAATGTGTGTTGTACTTGTAGCCAGTTAGGTAATGAGTAAGAGGCGCTGGGAGCAACTTAAAAAAAGCAGTCTTTTAATCTCTCTATGCTAAGCTGAGCTGCTGAGAGCAGGATAGCCTTTGTAAAGCCTTGTTAATAGAAAGCTTGTTTAGTTTAATATATCCTCTGAGAATCTTTAGTCCTGTGAAGTAGATTGATCCAAAGATTGTCTCCAGATTCTCCAGCAGCTTTTTCCAATGTGTAACGCATGTTATATGCACAATAAGCTAGCTGGATGAGGTTGGAAGTCTCTAATAGGTTTGTGAAGAAAGCACGCTAAGAAGTGGGGGGCTCAGTGTTGAGGAAGGGAAGACATAGTGCACAGGAATAGGTTCCGCTGTAATCCAAAGAAAGCAGCCTTCTGGCAAGCCAGATCTTTGCTTTTATAAAGATATTTTAAAACAGAGAAAGACCAGTTAGAAAACCCTCATGATACAATGTTCCCTAAGAGGTTTGCAAATTTTAGCACAAAGAACAATTGAGGATAATGAATTATGGCAGATATCCTAGCAAAAAAAAAAAAAAAAAAAAAAAAATATTGGGACTCACACCCCACCACTCTTGGCTTTCAGGGAATGCTTCCAAAGCAGAATAAGACTTTGGGAGAGAGAAGAGGGTATTTCTGGCCCTAGTAGAGGCTTAATTAATTCATAGCAGCCACTTGCCTTTAATGTTTCAAAGCACTTTAGTGCTGTAACGGTCTTTAAAGACTCATCTAAATGCTGGGTCTAGCTGTCTGGTTCCAACAGTTTTCAGGAGGACAATAACCCCTGAAGGCCAGAATACATCTAAACAGCCAGGCAAGTGCTGCAGGACACAAGGAATTATGGTTAAGATAGCAAACTTGACTTAGTTTCAGAAGAATTGGTCTCTGCCTGTGGTTGTGCCTGGCTTTTGCCTCATATCTTGCTATGTACCCCCATTAGGGCAGGAGCAGCTCCTTCTGAAGGGGGTTTCACTGTGGCACCACTTCCTAAGATGACCAAATGTATTTTTTGATGATGGTTCCAAGGACACAAGGGAAGTCCCGATTATTCAGCTGTCATTCTCATGCTTGCAATATCATATTGCACAGGCTATTCCTAGCAAAAAAAAAAAAAAAAAAAAAAAAAAAAAAAAAAAAAAAAAAAAAAAAAAAAAGAAGACAAGAAATGCAAAAAGGTGTCCTTTTATAGGCATTTGCCTAAAAGTTACTGATTTTGCTGCTGGGACAAATATATCTGGCGTTACTGCTGCCCAGTGGGTTGCTGAATTTGCATAGGTAGGACGCTTAGCTACTCATTCCTGTTTGCAACTTTATTGTAGTGCTCAGGCATACTTCACAAAGGGATCTGAAAAAGGGATTAAAGGAAGATCAGTGGCTCTCAGGGAAGATAATTATTTCTAGCTCAAGACACCACACAGCTTACTGAAAAGCCACCTCTGAGGTTCCCAATATGGGCAGTACCCTCCCTTTGTCTTCTCCTCCCGTTCCCTTCCAATTAGTTTCTAATCCCCAAAAGCCCACATATTTGTTTAGATTTCTAAAGATCCTTCATAGGCAGCAGCCAGTGAGGAGAGCTGTACGCTGAAGACACAGCTGGTAGGCTTTCTGATTTATCTGCAGAGCGCTGTTCTCTTCAAAGATCCCCTAAAGTGCTTTACTAATGTAACATGGAGACTTTGTCTGCAGCTGAAATGCAGCCACCTCCGGGGTGAAACATCAACAGTCCACAAAGCTTTTAGGCTAGAAAGAACCGAAATTCCTACCCAGGGACTTGCTTGCGCATTGATCCTGCAGTCACAGTATTTGCAGCAAAATCTACCCTGCTACAGAAAAGCCACTTTCATTCCCTGTGGCCACAAGGGAAACCTCAACAGTCTGAACCAAAGCCAGACCCACACAGAAACCACATAGGACGTATGAACGTGACCTCATCAGGGACAGTGAAAGAGTTAACTCTCTCCTGTGGAAAAAGAGAGGTCAGGCAGCCGGAATGAGAACACTTCATGCTCCCATTTGGAGCAAGAGAGGCTGTGCTTCCCCACACAGTACTGCTCGTGGTAAGCACACGTAATCGGGGCTTTTTCTATCTTATTATAAAACCCTCATGTAGACAGAGGTGCTGACAATTTTTAGAAACTTGCTCTGCTGCCACACAGGACAGGCAGCAGAGAAGAACTTCACTGGGATTTGCTGGGCAGGAAACTTCCAGTTAGAAAGAGATGCCTTCCCTAAGGGACCTCACAGCTGCCTCCCTTATTCAGAGGACAGATATTAGACCACTTCCTCCCCTTCACTCCAGTTTGTTGGCAAGTCAAAGGGAGACTCAAATTGCTTCCCAGTAAGCCTCTCGCATGGGGATCCATCGTAGCACCCTGCTACAATACAGAAAGGAACTGAGAAATTAAACCCAAGCTGACACAAAGGCATGGCAACACCCATTTCTTCTCCCTCGATATTAGACACAGAAATCTCTTTAGATAGCTTTTTTGCGTGCACATCATCACCATGGGTCTCAGCTGCGGCAATCTTTTCTATTCTGGTACTTACACTCTTCAAACACTAACACCCTGAATGTTTAACCTGGCCAGAGCCTTAACCACACAAGCCCTCCTTCGCATTCCCTTCTTGTATGCCTTCTCTTCCATAAAGCCAAAGCAATGCTTTTAGTTAAAGCCTCTGACCCACTCCCATCCTCCCATCTGGTACTCAGAAGTCAGAGATACCATCCTTCCCCCTCTGGTCTGCCAGCCTTCAGCCACCTCTCATCAACACATGAACAAAAATTCACGAGCTCTCTCCATACTACTTCTGGTGGATGGGAGAAGACGCCAGCAAGCATCCCCATGTTAGATCAGTTCACACAGTGATGCTTCCCTCTTCTGTGGGCTCATCTCTCAGCTTAAACTGAGCTACCTTCTTAAGAGCCAGAACTGACTTTCTGATTGCCTTATTTTTGGCAGCAGGCCACAACTATGACCTAAAGAGAATGCAATTAAATGATATTAGTGACAAGGAAGAGCTCCGTTTTACAGCTAGAATGACACCATTGTGTTAGAGGAGATAAAACTTGGGAGGACCATCCCGAGAAACCCCTGTGTTTTCCCTCCTCCCAGATGGAAATCCATTAACCTTTGAAACAGCACCAGTTTGTGCTTTGCCTACGATGTTATTTTCTTATGCCAAGATGCATCTTCTTCCCAACACAGAGAGCTGGTGTTTGAAGTGCCATCGCTTGTCTCACCTTCCTCATCCCCATGCCCAGAGTTATGCTGGGGCTCAGAGTCCTGGGGGTGAAGGGTCTTGTCTGGCTCTGGCAGATGAGAAATCCCATCGATGAGGTCCTCGACTCCATCCAGGATATCGTTAGCACACAGCTGAAAAGAACACACACACCCACATGCTGCACAACAGAAACCAAACCGTGGAAAGAGCCACCGCTAAACAACCCGTTTCTCCAGGGAGCTGGATTTGCAAGGTAGGTCTGTCCATGCAACAGTCATAACTAAGACCTCAGCATTGTTTCTGTGACAGAGACAGACGATCTTCCACTTCCCAGCATCCTCAGCTCTGTCACCTCAGACAGTCTGGCCAAATCTCCTGCTCATTTACAAAGCCACTTAATTGACAGGGCCAGTCTAAGTAACAGAGGTTTTACTTTAATCAAAACTAAAGCTTATATGACTTTAATTCCTTGAATTAATTTGTCAAAACTGGTTTAATTTTTTTTAGATCAGCTATAATAGTAACACACTTTCTGCCTTTGATGTTTACACTCCAGTAGGATCTAGAGACCCAGGTACATACTAGGGGCCCTAGTGTTCTAGGTCCTGTATCAAAAAGAGACCATGAAAACTTGTATTTTAAGTTCAGCACAAGAAAACAGGGAAGATGAAGAGAAGAAACACAGGGAGGAGAAAGGATGCGGGCGCAACGTAGCAAATTACAGCATTGGTCACCAGCAACATGCCGTCATGTGTGTAGTTTGATCCAGACACAGACAAGGACAAAAGAGTGGGAGTCAGCAGAGGACAAGTAAAGGCTCTGACATGAACAATTGGTTTAAAGACAGGAAAGAAATAAAATATTCACAAATATATCAGGTAGGAGTAAAGGGTCATTTTTCACAGAGAAGGTTTGTTACAGACCTGCAGGACTCCTGCAGGATCTGTGCTGGGAACACATGCTTCTGAACATATTCATTAAAAACCTGGAACAGGAGGTGAATAGCAACATGACCAGGTTTGCTGATGCCACCAAGTTATTCAGGGTAGTAACAAGAGTGGCTGACTGCAAACAATCACAGAAGGACCTTACAGGAGTAACTATATTAAAATGAAAGATGAACTTCAGTTCAGATAAATATAAAGCAATGCATACAGGGGAAAAATGGCAAGTTCGAGCTGACTGAGGGAACAAGATGTAGAGGCCAGACTAAGCTGCTGTTTTCATGCCCAACAATTTAAAAAACAAAACGAGTACTGGGAATTCTTTGGAAAGGACAAAGTTCAGATCCCCATTCCAAAAAGTATATACTAGAACTGAAAAAGGGTCATGAAAGGCAGAAGGACAATCAAAGTTCTCGTACAAGGGATGAAGTAAATCAAGACCTTTTGAGACTTGAAAAAGGAGGCAGCTGAGGAGTGAGTAGCACAGACAAAATGGCTGCTCATGTCATCTTCAATGGAATGAAACCAGCAGGTTGCAAAATAAATGAATGAAATGGAGCTGTTTTTCCACACAACATGCAGAAAAGCCATGAAACTCCTTGTTCATAGAATGTTTAAGATGACAAAAATTCACACAGGTCCAAGAAAAGACAAAACAAGTCTATGGAAGTGAAACTCATCAAGCTCTGTCAAATACAAACACACCAGACTCAATGAGCCTCTAAGCTGCAAACTGCAGGAGGCTGGGAGGGCATCTGAGAGAAGCATCACTCCATACTTGCCTTGTTCTTATCCTCTTCCAAGACATCCACAGCTGAAGATGAGATAAGGGCAATATGGGCCATCATGGCCGTATGAACCTCTGGTCTGACCCAGCACAGCTGTTCTAGTAATTGCATCAGCAATTTGTAACTGCTGCCAGACAGCAGAACGACAGGATTCACACTGCCTGCACCAGGCTAAGAGGCAAAGGAAACAAGGGGAGGAAGTGGAGGGCACAATCCCTACATTTACCTGATACCTGAAATGCCAAGAAAGAGTCATACAGTCTTGCAGCCATAGAGGTGGCATCTTCAGAGGCAACGCAAGCAGTAACTGATCTCCACCTTCCCCAAACGACTTCTACACTTACTGTTATACAACAAAGCAGCCTTGCACTTCCACAGAAGCTTTTGAGGCACAGACACAGAGAGGCCTCATCACAGGTCTCCCTGGGGATGTTTCTGGGCTGGAGCTGAAGAGGAAGGTGAAGCAGCAGCTGGCTGCTGTGTCTGCAGCTCTAGGATGTCAGAGGAGTGACTGGGAGTGCAAGGAAAGGGAGGTGAATGCAGCCTGTAAGAAAACTGTCTCCAGTTCAAGAGCAGAAGTGTTTACGTACCCTCTGCAGCTGAGAGTCAATCCGCCACATCCGCAGAGTCTGATCACGGGACCATGTAACCAGCTGGTAGTCTTTAGAACCTAAAAAGGGCAGAAACAACTTATAGACCCTGCTGAAAACAGAGACTATCTCAGCCCTGCATTTAGTGTAAACAGATTTGAGCAAGCCAGCAGGGAGATCCAATGGATAAGGCACTAAACTGAAAGGCAGAGTGAGACCTGTTCTGCTTTGCACTGACCTAGGTGCATCAGCCTTTATGTCTCCTTGCACCATGGTTACCACACCTCTAAATGGGGTATAATTTACAGGTGAAAAAGCACAAAGTAAGTATAATGAATGTGATGCAAGTTTTCTAACTAGGAATGAACAAGATCTAGTACAATACTTGTTTAAATAGAAGAAATAATATAGTTGAGAAACAGAGCTATTTTTATGATAACCGTAAAGTCAAAATACCTTTTAGTTCATCATATCTGTTTCAAGATGCAGTTGTTCTAAAACATTTCTAAGCTAAGAGAAGCTGGTTCTACCCTCCCCCTTCTTCCTTCTGAAAGACTTCGATGATGCCACGACAAGTTCAGGTTGTAATGAAATACATCTAGCCACATACTATCTATCAACAGATAAAGGTACACAGACTTATTTATGCCCATGTTTAGACCTTGTGATACAGTTTAAGTTTCCCTTGTCAAACAGCTGCTATGCTTAAGAATTTGCTGCTGCACAGCTGCTTCCTACACCCCTCTGCTGAGGCACAGGGGCTGTCTAAATACAGCACAGCAGACTCTGTGGAAGGAGATTTGCGCTATCTTGGTTGCCTCAACATTGAAGCAGACTTGGAATGCTTGTATGATTGATCTGTGTTGCTGGAGACGAGCATGACTTCCAGCCTCGGATATATCTCTATTAACTCAGCTAAGAACACAACTATGGTTCAAACCTGCTTGACTGTTCATTCACAAGCTATCTCAGACTGCGCCTCCAGATCCTAACACAGTTCTACATCGCTCTCCCCTTTTTGAAAGAGGAAAAGCAAGGTATAGAGAAGAAGGTAACTTAACTGAATCGCCCCAGCAGCTGGTGGCAGAGGGGTGGACCAGAACTTTTACACAGCACTGCAAAGCAGTACCACAAGTGACATCAAAGCCAGACATGCTTGTTCTCTTGATGGCAGCTGAGGTGCTGGAAACAGAGCTGTGCTCTGTGTGGTTATCCAACCTCTAATATGGAATCTCCTATATTTAGCTGCCTACACTAGAAAATTTAGTCAGGATTGAACTCTAACAGCTCCCTCCCTGCCTTTGCCAGCACACAGATAAGGTGGATTCGCTGGGTCTGAGGTCTGGGATATGCAGGAGGCTGCTGATCTAGGCAGTGATGTGAGGGGTTAACCGCTTAGCCTGCAGCTCTGAGCAGGGGGAGGGTGCCTACACTCGCGCACCCATCTAATAGTTTGTACGATTTATTCTGAAAGATCCATTTAAAAATAGACTCACAGGAGAGTGGAAGCAATTAGAGTCACCACTGACCCACTCAGCGTTCGGTAGAGTTGCTTTGTTAGCATGGAAACAACAGGGGGCGGCGGGCAGGAAAGCAGCTAGGAGCTACTCCAAGGAAAGACAAGAGTCAAACGGCGATAGCATAAGCATTGCAGCCAGGCCTCCACAGCCCTGGTTAACCAATGGCTGCAGAACAGGGGAGAGAGCACATCCAGCCCTGAACTCACCTTCTTTCTGCTTCCTCCACTGAAACTCCAGCACCACATCATCATGTCCCACGAACGTGTGGACAGGCGTGTTCAAGTCAAAGACATTCCAGAGAAGGAGACTGTTCTCTCGCCGGAGCTGGGGGACCATCACTGTCACCAGCCCATTGCTGAAAGGCTTAAGAGAGAAACGCCCTTCTGGTTAGCCTTGGGGAATTATGCTCCCATGCTGCTTTTATCACACACTAATTTCTCCCTTTTTCCCACCAACAAGAATGCGTGGGTTTCAAAGGAGCTCAGAACCAGGCCTAAAACTGGGAGGGTCCAAGGCAATTGCTGTGCAAAACCAGTGTCTTACAAGGGATAAGATGTAGTACATTGAGATATTCAATGCAGCTCACTTAAGATTAATCATTTCTTCCTGCTGCTTCCTCACTTTTCAGCTGTGAGGCCGAAGGGATTTCACCCTTGACTTTTCACATGGGATCCTTATGGCAATTTGCCTGGAGCTGCAAGAACTGCTTGCTCAGAGGAACACTGGAACCCAGTCCCACACCCCCCACCATGGGGACGGGGGAAGTGGATCAAAGACTCAAGGCACAGCACTGGCTTCAAGCCATGTTCAGACGTCTGGGGAAGAGAATGGGTATGACTGACGTTAAGAGCCTTAGCTTCACATGGCTGGGTGCTTGCTCTATAAAAGGCAACAGTTCTTGGATTTGATATGCTGTAAGAGCCCAGTGTGGCACACTTGGAAACCTTGGGAGTAGAGGAGGCACTGAGGGAGGGCAGAAGACAGCTGCATTGCTCTGTGCAACAGGTACCAGTACTGGAGCCGAGTGGAAAAACAGGACAGTGAGAGCAGCAGCCACCCTCTGAGCCTCCTGCTCCTAGAGCCAACCACCTGCACTTGGGGTTTTCCCCCCCAGGAGGACAATGCCAAAGACTGGGATCTCGCACTACTAGTCATTCCTTTTCCCAAGTGCCCCCATTGCGGACATTGTTTTTCTAGGCCTTTTAAGCACCAAGAGGGATTTTTAAAATCAACTTCATCATGTCCAGCAGTAGAACTAGTGAGAAGCCCTTCAGCTGTTCTTTATTTAATGTCTCTTTATGCATTCACTCTCACAGCACAAGTGGGGCTGGTGGGAGTTTCTCACTCACCGTGTATCTTGCCTTCCAGACGGGAACCTGGCAGGGAAGGATATTGAGGTATTTCCGAGGCTGACGGTAATCCCAGAACTTCAAAAAAAACCCCAAAACACAAGCAAAGGCAGGAGTCAGCTGGCTATACTTTCAGGCTGCAGTTTTCCATGTGGCTTGCAGATATAACAGAGCGAAAAACATGCCAGGGTGCCAACAGCTTCATTAGTAATCCCATTCATTAACAGCAGAGATGGCCCCAAAGGACAAATAGCAAGCTATCAGCATCTGGCAGCATCCCTTAGACGACGAGTGACTTGGGGTCATATTCACAGTGATCATAGCTTGAGTAATTAGAGCAGGGAGACAGGCAGCCTGCTTGGGCTTTCAGAGCTACAAGGTACCCTGCAGGCTCCCAGCCAATGTGCCAGTCCAGACTGGAGGCAGGCCCACCCTGCTGTTACTGCTAATTTTGTAATGAAGAATCTAACCTTTTGCTTTGCTAGAATACACATTTGCCTCAGAGCTTAGCTAAATGTAAATGAACTCCATTTGGCTGACATACAAAGCACACTTTCCCCCCAGGTAAAAGGCCCTGCATAGTAATGCTTGCAGGCAGTCTCTTATTGATAATCCAATTCAAAATGAGTTTGGGAACCCCGGGGACTGGAGTACGTCTCCTCCCAAGTTGCTGTAATCAGCTTGAGGCTGGCAACAGGCAGAGGCGGTTGTTTTCAGCTTCAGTACTGCCCAAACCACCACAGATATGTGGCAAACATATGTGCACCCATCCTGCAATGACTTCTCTGCCTGTTCTGTAAGTGCGCTCCTGGCTCAACACACACAGGCTGCCAGAAACAAAAAAATAAGGATCCAGATCTTGCCAATAGTAAGCATTCCCCAAAACTTCAGTAGTAGTAGAAGGGGATCTGCTCCACCATCCTGACGTCTCCCAAGCAGGAGTCCCAGAAGCAACACTTACCCTGACAGAGTTGTCCTGGCTGGAAGTGGCCAACGTATACTCATTGTCAGGATGCCAATCCAGACCGTGGATTTTAGAGAGATGAGCTGCCAAGTACTCTACTGCAGTGCTGGGTTTCTGCAAGGAGAGACATTTTCCTTCTGAGCACAGGACCCCTAAAATTTGGTCTAGTTCTTTGTCATAAAAAGAAACACTTTAACAAGGGCAAGAGGTAGAACACCCTCCTGCTGGGGAAAGGCAAACACCTCAGCAAAAGCAGTGGAAGGAAAGGTCCTGGGAAGGTGTGGCAAATTCCAGTCACCAAGTGCAGCCCTGAACCATGCTTTATACTCAGTAAACCAGTTAAGTACTATTAGATCAAAAGCAAAATGTTAATGGGCACAGTTTCTGGGGAAGGCGGCTATCTACATGCTCTCTTGAGGCACGCGGGCTCCCAATTCTCTCTAGTTTACACCAACCCACAAGAGAGATTTGGGATAAATTAGTACATTTTTCTCAGTATTTATCTGTGACCAGAGGGCTGTCTGTATTGGCTAAGTGGGAATATGCACGGGCTGCTCAAAAGAGCCTCAACTCACCCTTTTGTCCCATATTCGGACATCCCCATCATGGCTTGTTGCTAAACAGTTGGCATTTTTCTTGTTCCATTTCACCTGGGAAGCTCCAGCTGTAGCACAAACAGAGCAGGTCAAAACAAGCAATTAAAAAGTAAATGGCACAGCAGACCCTTGACCTGGGCTTACAGCTGCTCTTCTTAGCACAGGAAAGGCAGTTCAGGGGAAAGATGTCTCAGAAGCCAGCATGAAGGATGGCATGAAAATCACTTAATCACGATTCCTCAGCTTAGTGTTTGTGTCCTGAAGACCTCAAAGCAAGGGTGTTCCAGTCACATGCTTAGAGATTTTCATTGCAATTTCTAGCCACGGGTTGTACCTGAGTAAAATACTCAGGTCCATTAGCTCAGATGGAGCAACTTCCTCCAGACAAGAACTGCAGGTTCATTGCCCCTCTCCCAAATCCCTTCTGTTTTCATTCAAGCTACCTCCAGATGCTCAAGGATCGATTCATTTGTCTCTTCAGCACCCTCTATACTACCTTATGCTATACAGGGAATCAGTGTTATTGATCTATTATTAAGACGGAAGTGTAGGAGAAGGCTGCGCTGCAGGTGGACCTTGTGTCCAGCCAGCTGGAGGTAGACTCACTGGCTGGATCAAAAGGTCCAGCTGTTGAAATACACCACAGAAGTCAGACGTCAATAGCATTGTAAAGAAACTGGATGATGGTCCAGATATGATTATACAATATCGCGAGGGACTCAGTCAAGGGCCTAAAATCAGAAGTTGGTTGATTATTTCTAATAAGAAGCAAAATACAGCTTCATTTGATGTGGATTGATCAGACATTGCAAGAGAAATACATGTTCTGTTCATTCTTATTCTGCCAGTATTTTCAAAACATTTTAAGCTATCAGAAAGGTGAGGCCCATGAGAAAGCTAAACAGATCTCAGCCTGCTGCTATGCCCTACCTTCACTACCCACCTCCTGCTGCACGGTGAGCAGATTCATCCTGACAGCGTGGCAAAAAGCTAGTCCAGGGGAAAAAAAGCTGCAAACAGGCTGCCAGTTGATTGAGTGGATCCACTCACTGAAGGGTACACAAACGTCTGGACCAGCACTAAACAGGATCGGGCATGGAAGGAAGGAGGCTTTCTGGGGAGGCAGCTGCTGGGCTGGCTCAGCTGACCCGTGAAACCTCACCCCAGGCACCAGAAACGAACGCTGCTTCTGATTCAGTAAGGTTTTTGCATCGCTGCAATAGAGACGTTTGCTGGCTGGGAGGGAAGGGGGAGCCACTGCAGACGTGTAGCCTAAGGATATCTAAGCAGCAGAGCATAAGAGCTATGTGTTATGAGGATTGCTGTAATACTGGGGACAGTAACTCAGGAGAAGGACATTTTGCTCGTCATCTGTACTTCGCCCAGTTCCAACACGCAGCAGGTGAGGACTGACATACAGCACCTGCCAACAGGCGGTATTACAGGCGGCTGGACAGTCGCACTGCCAACGGCCATGACAAGTGCCTTTCCAGAGCAAGCGCAGCCCAAAGAGAGCACCTTCATGTCACCGCTGCGGCTGCCTGCACGTTGAAGGTACCCCAGGGAACCAGATACAGCCAGTTAATGTACCCAGCCCCTCAGTAAGTAAGGGGGCAGGCTGGCAGTCAGCAGCATTCACCACTGCCTGGGGTGCGATTTAGTTTCTCAGCTGATTCAATCAAACGTAAAAGGACACGGAGAAATTGCAGACAGACAACACAGGACAAGCAGTGCAAGAGGGTGGTTTAGCAGGGAAGAAGCTACTCATGTCTAGAAGGCACAAATGCCATGTGGCTGTCCACCAATTTTAGGACAGACAGTCCAAGCACACCACTGCCCTCCGTGCCTGGGAACCTCCAAGGGCTCCACATCCCTTCTTGCACTCTGCTCCTCTGAAAGGAGCTGTGAACTGGAGCCTCTTCTCAGGCTGCTACTACACAGGACAATCACACGTGGTGGCATTTCTGCACTCTGCCACGTTTAGCCTCGGAGCACAAAGGGAGGGAGGAATAACAGCAGGGGCATACAACAATAGGCTTGTTTAATGTCTACATCACACACACACGTCATACTTACCGACCGCAGAGAGGGAGACTGTAGGCTTCCTGGTGTCTCTGAAACACAGCATGGCTAATGTGAGTACCCACAGCACAGCCCAGCAGGTCCAGCCTCCCCAGTGAGCTCCTTGCTATTCCAGGGCTAATTATATTGCTGCCTCTTGGGAGCTAACATGCCTTCCGCTTACCAAAATACACCACATTAAATGGAATAAAGAAAGAGGTGACCAGCTGGAGGACAACAGCCATTCTAGCTTGCCACCACATACAGCAGCAAGTTTAGGACACAGGATTGAGCTGAAGGGGACTAGAGGGAGGAGAAACATGTGCCAAGTGTGGCATGTTGCAACTGGGCAGGCAAGGAAACACTGGGCTCACAAAGTGTTGCTGCAGGAAGCAACAAAACAGCCTTTCCCAGGAGGATTAAAAGGAACAAACAGAGCTGTGGAAAAACTTGACAAAAGCCACTGATGTGTTTGTCAAGCCTTTGCAGACCCTGATTCAAGGCAGATGGGGCAGTGACTTCAGAGCAAAGACTTCACGTCTAGCATATAAAAACAAAATTAGTAGGAAATAAGCCCAGCTGTGTGCAGACTCTACAGCCCAAATTCTGTGGTGGTAGAAGCCAGTGTGGCACCATGACAACTCCTAGCAGCCAGGACACAGATCAAGGCAATAATTTGCTCTTTGACCTTGCTCCTCAGGAATTCACCTGCCCTTTCATGAAAAATGCCAGTGAAAAGGAGGAATATTGTCTTTAGCTTTTTGAGTTTGCTGAAAAGCAGAACATTTTCTGGAACAGACTGCACCGCTTCTTCTAAGAATTTCTGCCTAAACAAAAAGTGATTTTGTATGAAAAATTAAGTGGGGAATTTCCAGCTACCCTTACCGCAGGGCTACCTCCCTAGTGTGTCATT